TGCTATCATTATTGTTGTTGTTGTTATTGTTGTTTAGTCTCTTCCAAGTATGCTATCGTTGTTGTTGTTGTTGTTGTTATTATTATTATTAGGATGGCCCTTGTAGCCTCTTCCAAGTATGCTATCATTGTTGTTGTTGTTGTTGTTATTAGGTTGGGACTTGTGGTCTCTTCCGACTCTGTGATACTATTATTATTATTATTATTATTATTATTATTATTATTAGGATGGGACTTGTAGTCTCTTCCTGCTCTGTGATATTATTATTATTATTAGGATTTATTTATTGATTTATTTATTGACGACATTTCTATGCCGCCCTTCTCACCCCGAAGGAAGGGGACTCAGAGCGGCTTACAAGGTATATATACATACAATATATTATCAACATAGTACAATATCAGTTTTAAATATTGCTATATTGCACTATATCAATTATACTGTAATATTATTAGTAATATTACATGTAATATAATATATAATTATAATATCATATTATAATTATATAATATAATATATTATATAATTATAATATATATAATTATATAATATAATATAATATAATACAAGGATGGCCCTTGTAGCCTCTTCCAAGTATGCTATCATTGTTGTTGTTGTTATTATGTTGGGACTTGTGGTCTCTTCCAACTCTGTGATGATATTATTATTATTATTATTATTATTACTAGGATGGCCCTTGTAGCCTCTTCCAAGCATGCTATCATTGTTGTTATTATTGTTGTTGTTAGGTTGGGACTTGTGTCTCTTCCAACTCTGTGATGATATTATTATTATTATTATTATTATTATTATTATTATTATTATTATTATTATTAGGATGGCCCTTGTAGCCTCTTCCAAGTATACTATCGTTGTTGTTGTTGTTATTAGGTTGGGACTTGTGGTCTCTTCCAACTCTGTTTTATTATTATTATTATTATTATTATTATTATTATTATTATTATTATTATTAGAATGGCCCTTGTAGCCCCTTCCAAGTATGCTATCGTTGTTGTTGTTGTTGTTAGGTTGGGACTTGTGTCTCTTCCAACTCTGTGATGATATTATTATTATTATTATTATTATTATTATTATTATTATTAGGATGGCTCTTGTAGCCTCTTCCAAGTATGCTATCACTGTTGTTGTTGTTGTTGTTGTTGTTAGGATGGGCCTTGTGGCCTCTTCCAACTCTGAGATGTTGTTATTGTTGTTGTTGTTGTTATTATTATTAGCTTTTATAATGAATGGTTCAATTCATGATGGGAATTAATTCTTTCTTTCTTTCTTTCTTTCTTTCCTGTTTTCCTTCCTTCCTTCCTTCCTTCCTTCCTTGCAGGCTCCTCAAAACTGCAGCATCATGTAATGGCCGTCCGTCTTTCCGCCTGCCGAGCGACATCATGTTCCTTAACGTTTTGCAGATGGAAGAAGACAAAAAAAAAAAGATTTTTTTTTAAAAAAAGTTAATTTTCTACACCAGGAATTTATACTTTAGTAGATAGATAGAAAGATAGATAAATAGATCTATAGACATATATATACATAGCGAGAGAGAGAGATATATATTAAAAAAACGCTAAAAAGATGTATCAGGAGTTTTTTTAAGGAAGGAAAAAAACACAGTTTTTTCAGCCAAAAATAATAATAATAGTAATAATAATAGTAATTCCCTTGTAACAAAAAAGAGACAAAGCCAAAGAGGCGAATGCCAAAAAAGAGACCCCGTGTTCTCATGCTATGTGTGTGTGTTTACTCCGTGTACTTGTTTCCTCCCTTTGGATACCAAATTGGCGTGTTGTTGTTGTGTTGTCTTGTCAAAGGGAGCGCACCCCTCGGAGCGCAAGGCCCTTTGCGGCCACCTTGGGGGCCTTCCCCTTTGTTTTTGCACTTGACGTCTCTCTTTTGTGGGAATTGAGGGGATTTCCTTCCTCTTTTGGGGTCCACGTCTGCCTCAAGATGCACTTAGATCCTCCTCACAAATGGAGAGACTCGTTTCAAGTCCAGCTTTTGAGGTTCCGGGTGCGAAAAGCGGCCCCAATTAATGCAATTAGTTGTGGGATTACTTGCCGTTTCGATTCAGGTTAACACCTGACGCATCAGTAAATGGGTTTAGGATTATAAATCCCATTCCCAGCCATTTAAATGCAAAATCAGACCAACGCTGAGGTAAATTTCAGACCAACGTTGAGGTAAATTTCAGGCCAACGTTCTGATATTTTTAAGTTTGGTTTTTGAGGTTCTGGATGCAAAGAGTGGCCCTAATTAATACAGTTAGTTGTGGGATGATTTGTTGTTTAGATTCGGAAAGGAATTCAGGTTACAACCTGACACTTTCTTAAATTAGCCAGGACTACAAATCCCATTCTCAAAATAATCCCGGTTATTTAGATGCAAAATCAGACAAACATTGTGTAATTTCAGAAGTTGGGTTTGGAGGTTCTGGATTCAAAGAGTGCCTCAAATCATCCAATTAACGGTGGGATTATTGGTTGGACTCAGATTACCATCTGATACATTCTTAAATTGGCCAGGATTTCAGGCCAACATTTGTGGTAATTTCAAGTTCGGCTTTTGAGGTTTCGGATGCGAAAAGTGGCCCCAGTTAATCCAATTAATTGCGGGATTATTTGTTGTTTCGATCCAGGTTAATATCTGAACCATCTGTAGACAGGTTTGGGATTAGAAATCCCATTCTCGTGAATAATCCCAGCCATTTAAATTCAAATTCATACCAATGTTGAGGTAAAATTTAAGAACTGAGAGATTACCAGAAGTCCCCTTGATTTCAGTTAAAATTCAAAGCCATGTGTTTTTGCATTGGCTGGGATTATAAATCCAATGCTCGGGAATAATCCCGGCCATTTAAATGCAAAATCAGACTAACATTGAGGTAAAATTTAAGAATTGAGTGAAGACTACCATAAATTTCCTTGATTTCCATTAAAATCAAGCATTTGTACACTGGCTAGGATTATGAATCCCATTCTCACAAATAATCCCGGCCATTTAAAGGCAAAATAAAACTAACATTGAGGTAAAATTTAAGAATTGAGTTAAGACTACCATGAATTTCCTTGATTTCCATTAAAATCAAGCATTTGTACATTGGCTTGGATTATGAATCCCGTTCTCACGAATAATCCCAACTATTTAAATGCAAAATCTGACCAACACTGAGGTAAATTTCAAGCCAACATTTGTGGTAATTTCAAGTTTGGCTTTAAAGGTTCCAGATGCAAAGAGCGGCCCCAATTAATCCGGATAATTGTGGGGTTATTTGTTGTCAATTCATAAAGACTCAGGTTACAATCTGGAGTATCCGTAAACAGGCTAAGATTATGAATCCTATTCTCCTGCATAATCCCAGCCATTGAAATGCAAATTCAGACCAGCGCTGAGGTGAATTTCAGGCCAACATTGAAGGACTTTCAGAAGTTCAGATGCAAAAAGTGGCCCCAACTAATCTAATTAATTGTGAGATCATGTGTTGTTTCCATTCATGAAGGACTCACTCAGGTTAATATCTGAAGCATCGGTAAACAAGCTAGGATTGTAAATCCCATTCTTGTGAATAATTCCAGCCATTTAAATTCAAATTCAAATCAACGTTGAGGTAAAAATTGAAGAATTTAGTGAATTCCTTTAATTTCAATTAAAATCATGTTGTACATTGGCTGGGATTATAAATCCCATTCTTGTGCAGAATTCTAGCCATTTAAATTCAAATTCTCTGAGGTAAATTTTAAGAACGGAAAAGATTACTTGAGTTAAATGGCTCAGAATGGAGTCGGGACTAAAACTGGTTTTAGGCCTGAAGGTTTCCACGGAGCCAGACCAACTTTGAGGTAAATGTTAAGGATTGAGTAATTAATCATAGAATCAAAAAAGTCCCTCAATTTCAGTTTAAATCAAGCCTTTTTACATTGGCTGGGATTATCAATCCCATTCTTGTGCGTAATTCTAGCCATTTAAATTCAAATTCAGACCAATGATGAGGTAAATTGGTTTGGATTACAAATCCCGTTCTCACGCATAATCCCAGCCATTTAAATCCAAATTCAGACTGATATTGAGGTAAATTTTAATGGTTAGGAAAAGACTAGAAGACGTTCTCTTGATTTCAGTTAAAATCAAGGCTTTGTACATTGGCTGGGATTATAAATCCTGTTCTCGTACATAATTCTATCCATTTAAATTCAAATTTAGTTGAATGTTGAGGTAAATTTTAAGTACCATTGATTTAAATGGTTCAATTGAGTCAGGACTAAAACTGGTCTTAGGCCTGGAGATTTCCACAGAGCCAAACCAACCCTGAGGTGAATTTCAAGCTGTGAGAGAAATTCCCTTTGATTATAATGGTTCAGTTAAATTGGGACTAAAACTAGTTTTAGGCCTGAAGGTTCAAAATCCGGATTAGGATGCCTTTTAATCACTTCTAGATTGAAAAACTTCACATCTTGTGCCTTGTGGCGGCCCTCGAGGGGAGGACGGGGCCTACGCCGGTGGGGGAAGCCTGCCTCGATTTGGGAAGGGCCAATAGCTGTCACCATGGCGAGGCTGGCTCCTCCCCTTTCCCCTAACTGTGCTTAGCTTGACGCAGCTGTTAAGTTTTCCCGCCTTTTTGCCTGTTTCCATGGCGACACAGGCTCCTCCCCTTTCCCCGGCCACGCTTGGCTTGACGCCGCTGTTAATCTCCCTCAGTTTTTCCCGCCTTTTTTGCCTCATAGATGCTTGAGCGCCGCTCTGCCATAATAGCCAATACGAAAGAGGTGGGTGGACCTTTCTGTACTGTATTGTTGTTGTTGTTGTTGTTGTTCTTCAAGGGCGACGATTACCAGAAACGTGCCTTTTTGGGGGGAAGTGACAGCTTTATTTAGAGGGTGGGGTTTGTATCGCTTTTTTGTGAGGGAAGCATTTCTCCGAAAGGCAGCAAAGAGCGAGGGAATTTGGCCTTTGGCTTCCTGGGTTTCCTCTCTAAAGATGAACCAAAGTTGCCTCAGTGGTTTCAGGGGAAAGAGGGTTTTAGTTCTTTGGGGTTCTAGGTGCCATTTTCTAGGTCTTTCCGCCCACAAAGGAGGACTAGGCCTCAAGCTACGGGTTCCCATCCTGAGGAAGTTTGGCAGCGAGAAAGAAATGTTTCAGGGATTATCCTTCATTCTCTTTTTTGTGATTCTTTATTGTTTTGCTTGAATTGTAAAAAAAAAAAATGGATGAGATCTGAGGGAAAATGTCCCTCATAAAAGAGAGCCCATTTGTGGGGAAATTAGGCCCAGGAGGGATATCCGTAGTCAGAGATCAGTGAGGTCATCCATTTGCATTGATCAGACCCTCGAAAAACCCTTCTCCGGACCTTTCGGAGAGGATGATGACAACGACGACAGACCCAGCCGCTCGATGCCTTAAAACGGAGCCTTTTCCGGAGCTTTCTCCACAGATTGTCCAAACGTCCATTGCATTTTTTAACTATGATTTTGCTTTACCATGTTTGATTTCCGCTGCTATGCTGAGCGCAAATGACGTTGCTGCCGCCATTGCCGTCTCTCTGTATTTCCTTTAAAACCAATAATACACTTTAACCAGAAGCCTGTCCGACTTGGTCTCCGGTGTGTTTTGGCTTTTGTCTTGCTGGGAAACAAAACGGGGATCCTTTGAGAGAAAACGACATCCGTTTAGCGTTGGATTCGGGGAAACAATACGGGGCTTGTTTGAGGTAAACATCCATACATTTAGCATTGCGTTCAAGGAAACTATTTATTTATTTATTTATTTACTTCACTTGTATACCGCCATTCTCAGCCCTAAGGCAACTTATAGCGGTTTACAACAGTCGAGCACAAACAAAGCGAACAATCAATGCAAAAATTCAATGCGGTATCAACAGGTAATTAAAAACAGTTAACACAGAAACAAGTTAAGCAATTAACAATAATAGACAATCAATCAATTGGCGTCTCATAACTAGAATCATGATCCAAACTCGTCAATTGTAGTTCCATTTCCTAAAATTCATTGCACTTTTTATTCAAACGCCTGTTCGAATAACCAAGTCTTCACTCTTCTCCGGAATACCATCAATGAGGGAGCCAATCTGATTTCTGTGGGCAGGGCGTTCCACAGCCGAGGGGCCACCACCGAGAAGGCCCTGTCTCCTTCACGGTTCTCCTTCACGTTAAACACATCCATCCATTTAGCATTGGATTTGGGGAAGCGATACGGGGCTCCTTCAAGTTGTTTTTATTTTTGCCATTTCTCAAGTCGCTCCTGACACATACACACAAAAGGGGTTTCTTTGAGGTAAACAATCCATTTGATTCGGGGAGACGATGCCATCAAAGTGGTATCATCTGCATATCTAAGATTGTTAATGTTTCGTCCAGCCATTTTAGCTCCAGCCTTGGATTTGTCAAACCCCGCACATCGCATGATATGTGTTCTGCATACAAGTTGAATAGGTCGGGGGACAGCATACAACCCTGCCATACGCCTTTCCCAATCTTGAACCAGTCAATTATTCCGTGGTCAGTTCTTACTGTTGCGACTTGGTCATTATACAGATTCCTCAGGAGACAGGCAAGGTGACACTTGGTCTCCCCATACATAGGGGGGGGGGTGAATGAAAAGTCATGCCTCCACCTTCATTACTTGGGTTTGGATGGGAATATTTTAATAAATGCATAAATAATCCTCAGAATGTGCTCTTTACCACAACTCACTTCCCCACATAATCACCAGACAATTGGATACATTTCTGCCAACAATGAACAAGTTTTCTGAAGCTGTCATGGAAGAAGTCATCACTCTGTTTCTTGCACTTCTCTCATTCTGGGTACCCATTGTGCACAGATCTTCCGATAACCAGGCAAAACAATAATGTGACCCACACGTTCTTGTGAAATGCCGATTATGCTTGAAATTTCTCTCTGAGCGATACGACAATCATTCTGAATCAATCTGTCAATCTTTTGCTTGTGAAACACGGTGGTTGCTGTCACAGGACGTCCAACTCTTTGTTTGTCACTCAAGTCAGATGTTCCCACCTCCACATCTTTAAACTTACTCGCCCAATGACGCACTGTACTCACATCAACACAATCGCCGTAAACAGCTTGCATTCTCTGATGAATCTCTTTTGGGGTGACACTTTCTGCTGTCAATTCAATGGCTGCATGTTGCTTAAGTCACATTGACCAACTGGCTGCGCAGGGTTCCATACTTCGCACTTTAACAACACAACTGTTCAATGCCAAGGCTTCCCACCAAAATGGAACTGTAGAGGAGAGTCTACTGAACAAGCCAGTACCTGCCGCATACGTTGCTTAAGTCGCATTGACCGACTATGCGCAGGTTTCCATACTTCGCACTTTAACAACATAACTGTTCAATGCTAAGGCTTCCTGCCAAAATGGAACTGTAGAGGAGAGTCTACTGAACAAGCCAGTACCAGCTGCATACGGTGCTTAAATTGCATTGACCGACTATGCGCAGGTTTCCATACTTCGCACTTTAACAACATAACTGTTCAATGCTAAGGCTTCCTGCCAAAATGGAACTGTAGAGGAGAGTCTACTGAAGAAGCCAGTACCAGCTGCATACGGTGCTTAAATCGCATTGACCGACTGCGCAGGGTTCCATACTTTGCACTTTAACAACACAACTGGCTGCCAAGAGGGAGGGTGAAATCCCCTTCCACGCTCCGTTGTTGCCAGGAGGCAGTAGTAATTTTATTGATTAGCCCGTAGGCCATATCACAATATCAAACAAAACAAGAAGGAGGCAAAAACCCGCGAAACAGCGAGTCCGCGAAAAGCGAACTGCGAAGTAGTGCGGGAACACTGTACTACCTGAACGAAATGTCTTATTCAGAATGCGACCTATCAAAATCTCGGACCAAGAATTTTAATAAAATGGCAAATTATGTTAAACGCGTATTGTAATGGAAATCAAAAAGCCAGAATAAATCAAAGCCAATGGTCCAAACCCCCCAAAAAGGAGGCCTGGGCCTCCCAAATATTGAACGATGCGATTGTGCCAATCCAATAACAACAGCAAAACTTTATTTATATACCGCTTATTTATTTATATCTCCCTGAGGAGACTCGGTTTATGTCTCTCCAAGTAACATCATCAATACATACAAAGAAAACAGCACAAACATAACATTAACAAGACAATAGAAGCATTAAAAACCACAATCTATATATATATAAAAATGTCATGTTCGTTTGTGGTATTCACAGAACTCAAAAACCCCTGGACGAATTGGCACCAAATTTGGCAGCAAAACACATTCTTATCCAATCTATGTCTTCCAAACAAAAAAATCTTTAAAAAGGAAGGGAAAATAACTTTAATATACCCCCCCCCCCCAAGAGTACCTAACCGAGCCTGCGTAAAAGGCATAGCATTCACCTAGAGTCGGCCGTATTGGGTCTGTGTGCCTGTTCAGTTGCTGATCCATTCCTCTCTGTTGTGGGTCACAGAGAAGGGTAGGAAAGGGTTAAGGGAGAGGAAGTGGGCGGGGTCATGCAAATTCCACACAAGGAACCCTGGGATGCCTGCCTGTGGTGGAGGAAACATGTCCCATCTAGGAGGAACTTCTCCCCAAATGAAAGCCTTTCCTTGGGGGGTGGCCCATAGTGTCCATACAGGAGGACATGGGCAGTGTTTGGGGTACATACATACGTGTTCATGGTGCTCGCTGTAACCTGCAATGTCAGTGGAGGGAGGGCCTTTGGAAGCTTCTCAGCCCTTGGACACTCGAGCCTGTTTGTGGAGACTGGGGGTTGTCTGCCACATACACAATTTTCACTTTGATAGGCATGTGCAATCCATGCTTCTAAATGGTTCTAAAGTCCTTACAAAACTAAAGTTCTGGTGGTGAAAACAAGGGGGTGCTAGTGCTTTGCTTCTACAGCATTGCCAAAGTTCTGGTGGTGAAAATTTCAGAAGTCTAATAAAACTTTCAAGATTGCATTATAAATGGCAGTTCCTAATCGGTTCCGTCATAAAAAATAACCAATAATGAAATAATAATGAATTTTTGAAAGTTTTGTTAGAGTTCTGAAATTTTCACCACCAGAACTTTAGCAACACTGTAGAAGCAAAGCACCAACGCCCTCTAGTGTTCACCACCAGAATTTTAGTTTTGTAAGTACTTTAGAACCATTTAGAACCTTGGATTGCACATGCCTATTGATTATGTGTGGAGAGCAGTGGTTCTCGACCTTTCTAATACTGTGACCCCTAAATATGGTTCCTCATGTTGTGGCGACCCCCAACCATAAAATTATTTTTGAGAGTGCAAAGGAGGCGAGGCAGGCTTCGCGTAAGGTCAGGCCTCGCGCGAATGAGCCCTCACCTGGCCCGCGCCCTTGCTGGTCAGCGAGAGCACGGGGCAGGTGAGGGCTCCTTCATGCTAGGCCTGGCCTTACGCAAAGCCTTGGGGGTGGGCCAAAGGCTTGGGGGCGGGGCCAAAGGAGGCAGCCTCGCGACCCCTCCGAAATGGCCAAACGACCCCCTTGGGGGTCGCGACCCCCAGGTTGAGAACCGCTGGTATAGAGAGATCTTATTACTTCAGCCCCATCGTGCGGACCGACTTCCGCCGCTTCTTCCGCTTCTTCCTCTGACTTGCAAAACTGGAATACACTCTGCGGTTTCTTTTAAAAGTTGCACAAGATAAGAGTGAGCAAGAATAACACCAACTAAGAAGCAGGTTTTTGTAATTCCGCGGAAACTACACCGCTATGACAAAACGAAAAATCTCAAGCCATGACAATCCTACATGAATATGGAGATACTAAACACAGTGTTCCCTCACTTATCGCGGGTGTTACGTTCCAGGACCACCTGCGAAAAGTGAAAATCCGCGAAGTAGGCACACACCGTATTATCCACCACCGACACCTTTGCCACCCTCCCCGGCCTCCCTCACTCACTCCCTCACCCTTTCCTCCATTTCTCACTCACTCACCGGGCTGAGCCCTGGTTCTGCTGCTGTGATCCGTCCTGGTGAGTGAGTGAGTGAGTGAGTGAGTGAGTGAGTGAAGGCGGCAGCAGCGGCAGAAGCAGAATCCTGGAAGAGGCAGCCAAACTCCTGCTTCTGCATCTGCTGTCGCCTTTGCCACCCTTTTCACTCACTCACTCGCTTACCCACCCCTCCTCGCTCGCTTCTCACCGGGCCAAGTCCTGGTTCTGCTGTCGCGACCCAGCCCGGTGAGTAAGCAAGCGAGGGTGGGCGGGTGAGTGAGCGAGCGAGGATGGTAAGGGAGGCAGCGGCGGCCGCACCTCTTCCAGGCTTCTGCTTCTGCCACTGCTGCCGCCTTCCCTCACTTGTTCACTCACCAGGACAGATCACAGCGGCAGAACCAGAACTCACTGGGCCAAGTCCTGGCTCTGCTGCCGGGACCCGGTCTGGTGAGTGAGCGAGCAAGGGTGGCAAGAGCGGCGGTGGCAGCACTCTTCTAGGCTTCTGCTTCTGCCACCGCTGCCGCCTTCCCTCACTTGCTCACTCACCAGGACGGATCACAGCGGCAGAACCAGGACTCACCGGGCCAAGTCCTGGCTCTGCTGCCGGGACCCGGTCTGGTGAG